ACCCAGCCCTGCCCCCTTCCCTCCCTGCCTGTTCCCCACAGGTGACGCGGGTGCCGGTGGAGAGCTGCGAGCAGTATGAGAGCTGTGAGCTGTGCCTGGGCTCCCGGGACCCGCACTGTGGCTGGTGTGTCCTCCACAACATGTAAGTACTGTGGGCTCTGCCCCAAGGCCATGCCAGTGAACCATAGTTTGGAAACAGTGTCTGTCCCCAACGGTGTTCTCCTTGGAGAGACCCCCTCCTGGGTTTTGGCCCAGAAACATGTGGGGGTGGAGTGGTTTGAGGGGTCCGTCATCCCTTCCTGCAGCACCTGGGCTGTGCTCATGAGCACCCATGCACAGTGAAGCTGCCGGCAGGGTCCCTCTAATCCTGCTCCTGGGCTCCCGGGTTTGATGTCCTTGTGTCAATAAGAAAAACTGAAGATAAAAGACCCCAGAAGTCCCCTGTGCTGGCACCAGGGGAAAGCAGAGCTCCCAGGGTCCCCGGCTGGGTATCCCCTCCGTGCCAAAGGCTGTATTGGCCATGGCATCAGCCCAGAGCCACGCAGGATCCCGGGAGTTTCTCCTCCACACCGTTGCGGTTTCACCTCCCCCCAGATGCTCACGCAAAGATCGGTGCGAGCGGGCGGACGAGCCCCAGCGCTTCGCCTCCGACCTGCGGCAGTGCGTCCAGCTCACCGTCCAGCCGAAGAACATCTCGGTCACCATGTCGGAGGTCCCGGTAAGCCACCTCTGCTGCCCGTGGAACCCCCCCAGCCACCTCCTGACTCTCTGCGGGCAACGGATGGGAAGGTGGCAATTAAAAATAACGAACAAATATACGACAAGCAGGGAGAAAAGTGTAAGAGAGGTCCAAGCCAAATAAAACATAGCAAAGTGCAGGGGGTTGGCCATTGACGAGGGCTGGCCTATTGATGGAGATAATAAACCAGTTGATGATTATTCAGAAAAGACATAAGCGAGCAATAAATATTTCTCCGTAATACAAACAACAGCATCAATAGCCTGTCTCTGACCCTGGCCTACAGTAGATGTTTTGGGACGAGACTTCGATGCTCTCTCTGTGCAGACAGGAAGGATGATGGACTTCCCCAAAGTATTTTCCAGGCCATTAGCACCAGGAAGAGAATACAAAACAGCATATACTAGCGATAAAGTTTTGAAAACTGCCAGGTCTGGATATCTGGCACTCAGGAATTGCTGAGGAGTTCCTTGGCCTGTGGATATTTGTAACAATATAATATTAAATAATTACTATTTTGTAATACATAAACAAATGTTGAGAAAAGCCCAGGAAACAGAGAAGGGTCTCATTTTTTTCACCACAATACAGAAAGGGCGTATGGGATGGACTGAATGGTCAGAGACAGCTTAGTTTGACATTGAGTTTAGAAAAACTAACGGAATCAAAAATGGATGCTGGATACAACTGATCAAGATTTAAGGATGGAGATATAATTAATGCCAGTCAACGCGGTTTTATGTCAAACAAACCTCATTTTGTTCTTTGATGAAATTATGACTTGAATTAGAAGAGGGACTATGGGGATGTGATGTCTTTAGGCTTCTACAAGGTGTTTGACTGGGTACAACACAATGTTCTGATTAAAAATTAGCATTATACAATATTGATAAAGCATGTGTTAAGTGGATTAAGAACTGGCTCTGTGACAGATCTCAAAAAGTTCTCGTCAGAGGGGAATTGTCACTGGATGGAAACAGTTTGGAAAGTGCTTCTGCAGGGTCTAACGTTCATTGGTAATGCAGAAATAAATGCGAGATGGCTGCAGATGGGACCTGCTGGAGTGCTGGGACTGGTGGAGTAGTATGGGGTGAGATTCTTCTGCAGAGCAGGTGGGTCTGGGTGGGGCTGGTTTAGCAGAGAAATTGGGGTTTGATATTACCAAGTCTAAAGTTAGATATGGAGGGAGAAGATAGGTGTTCTCCCAGCACCTTGGAAACAGTTCCGGGGCTGATCCCTCACTGTGGGGCTCTCCATGCTTGTTGGGCGAAGCTGGGAGCTGGGCAGCTGTCTCCTGACCGATGGCAGGGTACTGCACAGGGTTCTGGTGTGGTCAGCGTGGGGATGCTGAGCTCAGGCTGGAGTCCAGATTTGAAAGGAGGAGGCTGAAAACCTCCCGTAAACATCATGTAAATGAGTTGAAGGCTGGAGAAAATGCCTTGCAGTGAGAGACTTCCAGAGCTCAATCTGCTTAGCTTATCAAAAAGAAGATTAAGAGGTGACTTGATTACAGAGTATAAGTGCCTTTACAAGGAGCAAATATCAGGGACTAAAGGGCTTTTTAATCTATCAAGGAAAGGCATAACAAGAACTAATGGCTGGAAGCTGTGAAAAATTCAAATTAGAAATAAGGCAAGCATTTTGTAAAGTGAGAACTGCTGACCCCAGGAATGACTTTGCGAAGGAAGAGGTGAATTCCTTCCCTCCTCGGCTTTGCCGAAGTGGGTGCCTTTCCGCGAAACACTCTAGCCCTGACGCTGTGCTTGGTCTCTGCAGAGGTGAGGCATAATGGCTTGTGGTATGGAGGGCAGAGGACAGAGCCTGTGAGTCATTCTGTCTTTTAACCCGTTGAAGTCGTCTCTCCTTGCTTGAGCGGGGAGGTTTGCTTGCAAAAACCCGGAGCAGGTCTCCCCGCTATGCGTGGGTGGTGGAGGAGGGATCATGCCCCTGGTCTTTTCCGTTGACTGGACTTACACATAGCAGACATGGAGGATTCTTTTTTGCTAGTTTTCCGTGTTGATGCTCTTGCCTCTCCTCCCCAGCTGGTCCTGCAGGCCTGGAACGTGCCAGACCTCTCGGCAGGAGTCAACTGTTCCTTTGAAGACTTCACTGAGTCCGAGAGCCGCATCGAAGACGGGAAGATCTACTGCAGCTCTCCCTCTGCCAAGGACGTCATCCCCATCACCAGGGGCCGCGGTGAGCTTGTGATCTAGAGTGGGGAGAAAGCCTCGGACAAACCTTGTCCCTCTTGTTGCTCAACAGCCAGATGTAGAGGAGGACAGTCCTCCTGTGACAGTGATGCCTGGTCCCTGAGCAGGATCCGAGTTGGGTCCTTGGGGTGCAGGAGGAGGAGGATATTGCTGCTCATGGGGACTTGCTCTCCTCTGAGCCAGGGGCACAGCTGCTTGCTGACATGTTCTGTGCACCAGTCCCAGTCACCCTGGCCTCGTTCCCCACCTATGAGCCATTCCTGGGCAGATGTGCTGTAGGTGGCCATGGGCTCTAGGACATATTCTGCTCACTCCAAAACTGTTAAGCTTCACTCTAGTACCACTGTACAACACAAGGCACCTGCCTCCATGCCAGCAGGTTTCAGTTAGCTGTAGGGGCTCAGAGCTGTACTTGGTCTCTGTTGGCCCATTTGATGACTGGGTGGGTGTGGCTGAACACTTTTTATTGCCAAATTTGGAGGATTTTGTTGGTTAACTGGGCTGAGTGGTGGTGCCCAGCTCCCTTCAGCCCATCACAAGCCTTGGGCTGTGCACTGTGTCCTTTCTGATGCCTTTTTCTACCTCGATCTCTCCCAGGGGACAAGCGAGTGGTGAAGCTCTACCTGAAATCTAAGGAGACGGGGAAAAAGTTTGCCTCCGTGGACTTTGTTTTCTACAACTGCAGTGTCCATCAGTCGTAAGTGGCCTGGGCTTTGCGAGCTTGTTCTGGGGACAGGTTGGTGGGGCAACGTGAGACTGAGAGAGACAGATCTCAGCTTTGTGGGTGCTGATGTTGCAAGAGGAAGGGCAGTCAAGTATAGTGGTGTTTGCAGCGAGAAACCTCCTCCTTTTGCCCTTGTAAACTGGGATGGTGACCAGAGCACCCACAGTTGGTTTGGGTGCGTGGGAACATGTAGCATCAGGGCAGAACCTCACTTAAAAACAAGGCTTTGGGTTTGGCAAAGCTTTGGAAGAAAAAGTGAATTTACTGCATTGCAGACTGTAGCAATCCATGTGACCAAAAATGCCAAGCATCTTGTTATTCCTGGAAACAGTTAATAGGAGTGATTTGGCGATGCAAAAGGAGAAGCCTGTGTTTTCCTTCGACATGGTACCTGCTTCGCAGGCTTGTTGGAGAGCGAGCTGGAAAGTTACAGCTACATGGGACGGAACATGCTGCATGTCCTGGGGCGTTTACCAAAGAATTTCCTAACTGGAAGTAATTGTGAATTTGCTTTCTTGTCAAGCTGCTGTGAAATGTACTCCACCTTCGGGTTTTTAGGTAGTTTCAGATATGCATATGATAAAATAGAGGTGTGGATTCTAGAATAGAATGTGCTGTCTGAGCAGGGTGTCTAAAGCCTCTGACGGTGAGCTCCTGATGAGGAGCTGTGGACGGTGTGCTTGAGTGGTGGGGAGATGGCTCTGCTAGGGCAATGTTGGAGGAGACGCTGGGGTGTGTTTGGGCAAAGAACTCGGAGCTCAAGAATGCAAGTGATTTCATTACCCTGCCAGAACCCTCCCATGGATGGTGGTGCTCCGGCTGATCAGTAATTATAGATAAACAAATGCAGAGTGATCTCTCTCGGATGGCTTTTTGCAAAATGTCTAGCCTGACTCGATGAGGGGGGGATTCTGCTGCAGGTTACTCCTCCAAAGCCTGTTAGGATTTTCCACTTTGATCAGGGAAAAGCAGGTGAAATGCGGGCTGGGTACCTGCCCTGAGCTCCAAGGCAGAGATGTGTCAGAGGAGACCCCTGCAAACCTCATGCATCAGAGGGGTTTCTGCTCCGTTCGCTCTTTGCACAGGGAGTGGGTCTCGGCTCCTGGGAGCACTTTGCCGACGATGGGGGAGAGAGTTTGCAAACTTGACTTTCTCTCTCACCTTGACTCCCGAGATGAGCCTTGTCTCCCTTCATGTCGGGCGGTTTCAATAACATTAGCTCAGCTTTGGCTGGGGCTGGCTGCATGACATTATTTTGCAAATCAAAAAGCAGATGTGACTTTTATTTTTCTAAATGGAAGAAAGCAGACTTTTAAGTATAAATGGCATCGGATTCCATCCAATCGGGCTCCTGCATTTTGGTCCAGCGGGAAGAGGTGATGAGGGAATTGGGGTTTTATGTGCCTGACACGGAAGGGGAAAAAAACCTACCCCCCTCCAACCAAACCTACAACAAAGAGCCCTGACTGATTTATTACTGCGTTGATGTTTAATTTTGGATGCATTATTTAAAAAGGCTAATTATGGATGCATTAATATTTATGGGCTCCGGTTGGAGCTGATAGAAAAGTCCATGTTCTAGGCTGGTGAACATTAGTATTATTTTCTTTACGTCAAGAATTTTAGGGTTTGGAGGCAGTTTTAACTATGTGACCTGCAGTCGAGTCATAGCCAAAGAGCATGACAATACCTAGGATGATGCAATACTTTTAAATACCATTTGCAGACAGGCGTCTTTAATGGATCTCTTCGGAGTTAATGGCCTTTCAGATCCAGGTTTCATATTTTGTGGAGGAAAATCTATACGTCAGCCTGATAAATTCTGTATTAGGAACAATATGCTTTTCCACCAGGCTAATGTTTTTCCTGTGGAGATCTCTGATCACCGTGCATTACGTTTTCTTTTTATATTTGGGCAGCTTTGCTTAGGTTGGAAGCCAGAGGCCTGTGTGTTGAATCATTTCTCAGCTGAGGACGAAATGTTTAGATGAGATTTTTCGGATGGTTGTGGAGAGATGGGAGAATTATGAGGCAGCTCTTCGCTGGTGTCAGCTGGGGTAGCTCCAGGGAAGCCAATGCAGCTCCACCGCGTACACCGGGGAGAGCCTGACCCTTCTTGTCTTCAGCAGACATCTGGAAAGGCATCAGCAAAAGGCGCCACTGAGGCCCTTTTGCAGGCTGTGGGGCTGATCCTGCCGCCACGCGAGCATCCTGGCTCTCTCGTTTCTCACCGCCTTGCAAAATGCTTCTTCCTGTGCCTTTTCAAGGACTGCTGGAACCAGCCTGGCCCAGGGAGGGGTTCCAGAGGGAAGACACATCTAATCCTTTCTCCTGCAGAGGAGGAGGGGTACAGAGGAGTTTGTGCTGCCTATGTTTGGCTTGTGATAGTCCTGGCCAAGGGGTTGCCTTCCAGGTGGAGCCCTGTTGCTGTCCCACCTGTTATTGCAGGGCTTTATAGTGTCACCCGGTGTGATGGGACTGTCCCCATCGCAGCCCAACATTGCTGGCTCCTGGGGTGCTTCTCCATGCGGAGTCCCTGGGAGCCCTCATCTGGGACTGGCACCCTCTCTGGGGCTCCGTTCCTTGCTCCAGCAAGGTCACCTGGCAAGCTTCTAGGGGTCCCAGCTTGGTGTGCCGCACCCCGGCAGCTTCGGGGCTCCTGTGGAGCTCAGGCAGGCGTTACAGGCCGTGGCATCTTTTGGCCATTTTGCTCCTGAAGACTTGTACATCAGGCAGGGGATGTTTCTGACTGGGCTGTGAGAGGTGCCTTGAACGAGGGAGTGGAAACTTGGAGGTCGATGCAGAGCAACGGGTCCCTTGCAAAGGGGAATGTGGGTGGCTGAGGGTCGCTGCCAGCCCATGGCAAGGAAGCAGGGCTGCCCACACAGGCTTGCCTGCAGCTCCTGCGGACAGACTCTGGTTCCTGCGGTGGAGGATGGGATGGAAAACCCCATGGCAGAGACTGGGGTGGATTCCCCTGGGGATTTCCTATGGGGCACTGATCAAGCGCAGGCGTTTAAAGACCCGCTCGGCGCCTTTGATCGTCTAATGAATCAGCCCGTGTCCAGCGCGTGCGCAGGCAGATGTTGAGGTCGTCTTTGTCAGCGCTAAACTCCATCTTCAAAGCATTCGTGGGGAAATGAGTCCCCTTTCAAGATAAAGATGTTAACACCAGGCTCCCTGCCTGCCTCTGGCAGAGCTTGCGCTTGCTGGTGGAGTGGGCGAGTGGGGAATCCTCCCGGAAAGCCAGCGAGCAAATCCAGGGAATACCGAGGTGTATTTCTTCCCACTATTTCCATGTTTGCTCTCTGGGTGTCCCCTCTGGAAACTCTGCTCCATAAATCCTGTTGCAGTTTGGTGTTTTGGAGTGCGTGGCTGCCGGGAGGGGGCTGGGGAAGAAAACAAGAGCCTTCGGCACTTCCTTCGATGCTGTGGGTAGGTTTTGCAGCACTGCTGGGTTTTGGAGCAGGCTTTCCCTATAAGCCTCCATTAAGTAAATGGGATTTTAATGCGTATCACAGGGACTGGGAGCAGCGGGGCAGTGCAGGGCTGGGCTGCTCTGGTGGCTGAGGTGCCCATTGGCACCCCTAGGACGATGCCAGCCCTTGTGCCGCTGGGCTCCTGGCTGCAGCCGTTCTGGCTGCCCGCACCGCCAAGCTGCCCGGCTGCTGCTCTGCTGGCCCAGCGCTGCTCAATTCCAGATGCTTACAGATGCTGTCTTTTCAAAGGCACGGACAGATGGCTGCAAGCAGTCGAGTGACTGTATCTGAGTAAGCACAGTTGAGCTGTGAGGCCGTAACAGATCCTTTTGTATTCCTGGACTGGGGCAGGTGGAAAATCCTGTAGGATGGCCCCAGAGACTGCTTGGGATAACCTGGTTTATGACATGCTTGTTGTGAATGAGGAGGGCTGGTGCAGCCTGGTGGTGTGTTTCAGTGAGGGGAGGCAGCTGAAGGTATTTCAAGTGAATTACCTTAAAAACCAGGGCCTCATTCTGCATCCTTCGACCAGCATGATGGTGGATGCCCTGGACCACCCTCCAGCAAGCCTACGTGCCCAGCCCCTACCCTGTCAGTAAGGCCTTTGGCAAAACCCAGCGGGGATAGAAAAGCGTCAGGCTGGCATGAAGGGAAGGGCAGAAACGGATTGAGATGGGCAGGGATGGAGGGAAGTGAGAGCGGATCTCCCACCCCACCCCTCTCCTGGCTCTGGGTCTGGGCACCGGTTGGGAAGGACAGGGCTGCCCGCAGGTCCATGTAGAGGCTTGGGGGGCACTGACCGTCTGTCTGTTCCTGCTGCTCTTCAAGGTTTCCCCCCATCCTGGGGGAGGAGAGACGGATGAGAAGCCCAAAGTGCTGCAGTTCAGCCCCTCAGCCCTGACAGCTGCTGCTCCAGATGCAGGCTGAGTATTTGCTAAGGAAACATCCTCCTTGCCCAGAGGAGGTCTGAGGAGCCGTCAGGAGGCTTGCGGGCGGGCTGCGCCGTGCGTGCGCAGATGCTGTTTCCATCCGCACTGTGTTTATAATTTCCCTTCTCGACGGACCTCCCCTGCTCTGCCCTTGGTGCCATTGAACTTGCCCCTGTCCCTTCTCCATGTCCTCCCTCCGGGAATAGGCTGCTCCATGGAAATAGCCCCAGTGTGTGTGTGTGCACACGTGTGCAATGCTCGCACCCCCCATCCCTCTCGTGTTTGCTGCTCAGGCTTATCACACCCTTGCATACGCTGGTTTTGTTTTCTGCTTTCCCTGCTGAAGAGCTCTGGGCTTTTTCGGGCACATGGCACGCCTGGGGCTGGGAGCGCGGGAAGGAGGGTGAGTGAGGAGCCCAGATCTGGTGCTGCCGGCTTCCCATCAGCTGCAGTATTGCTTCGGATCAGGCATGGAGACAGCTGCGACCTCGCTGTGGTGGCCAGAGGTGCCCTCTGCAGAGCTACCCTTGCACCCGGTGAGGAGCTGTGTCCTCCGAAGCCACCCCTGGCTCTGGACTCATCCTGAAACAACGCTTGTGGCCCTGCACCTGCCCTGGCGATGCGCCCTGCTCTGAGATGCTCCTTCGCTGTCCTGCCGCCCTCTCTGCACCGCTGCTCTTCTGCAGCCTTGGCAGATGTTTCCCTAGTGCGGCCTCAGCCGGTTTGGGAAGTGGAGGGGAGCAGTGTCAGGAGGTCTTGACCCCACTGTGTAGCAAGTTGGGGACAATCGTGGAGGCTGTGGGAAGGCTTCGGCTTTGCCCCTGGGTCACTCGAAAGTGGGCAGGGCTGCTTGCTTTTCTGGGGAGGTTGCAGGCAGGCAGTGAGCCTGGACTTGTTTTGAGATGGGGAGCTCTTCGCACTGGATGATCCTGAAACATGGGTCTGAGGTTGGGCACCGCTCCTCTTGCACCAGGACCTTGGGATGGAAGGGGGCACTGCCGGCGGGTTTGACCCCCTTCCCCCTGCCCAGGCTGGGCGGCTTCTCCGCCTGGCCCCTGGCAGGGCTGGGAAGGAGGTGGATGGGGAGCAAGCTGTGGGTCCATGTCTGCGCGGCACCCCCAGCCTCAGTTTTCTGCCTGACTGGGCTTCTCACACTCCCGGCACGCTTCGAGGAGGGGGGGGACTTCAACACATGAAGGAGAGCCTCCCTCTAATTATCAGGAGTGATGAAAGCCTCTTAGGCAAGAAGTGATGAGGGAAGAGTGCCTGACCGTGGGAAGGAGAGAGACGGCACAGATGGCATCATGCTGCCGAGCAGCCTGCTCCCGCGCCGGCAACAGACAGCAGTGACACACGGACACACCGAGGATACGGCCCCGACTGCGCCGCCCAGCCTGACCTGCAGCCGGGAACCCCTCCCTCGGCTCCTGCCCTGCGTTTTGGGCAGCCTTGCAGGGAGCTAGGGGGGGTCAAAGGGACATGCCGAAGGCAGCAGGACTAAGGTGGGCTGGCAGTGGGGTTTCACAGCGTTACTGGCACCCGGGCACTGACCTGCTTGTCACTTTACAGAGTCTTTGGCCAGCTGGGAGGTGCTGACCCAAACAGGCTTTAAAAGCAGTAGAGATGCTGTGGAGTGAGACGTGGTGGTGAGCACTCTCATGGCAGCGTTCGATGTCCTTGTGGCAGATGGAGGACCTCAGCAGAAGGGAGAGTGTGAAAAACATCTCTGAGGATGGAGCTCTAGAAACAGTGTGGTTAAGTTAGAAGCATCTGGGAGGGCTGAAGGAGAAGTGGGGGATCCCTGCACCTCGGGCATACGTGGAGGATAACCTGAGATGCTTTAGGTGTGTATGTGTCTTTTGGCAAGTGGAGACCAAGAGGTGGGCTAGGACCTACAGTAATTAAGTGGCAATGGAGAGACCCTCAGATGAGGAGAGTCCTGAAATAGCCAAGATTTGGCTTTGATCCTGAAGAACTGCCAGGGTGCCCAGGGCAGGGCTGCGCCGGGTGCTGCACCTGCTTTGAGGTGCCTTGTGAGGTGGTGGAGAGGGGCCTGGGGAGTCTGTTTGCCAACCCTAAAAGACCTGGTAGCTGGAAAACCTCTCCTGATGTGTTGCCTTTGCAAAGGGCTGATTTCATGGGAAGGTTGGTGGTTATGCCCTGGCATGTGGCTTGCGACTCCTTGTACCATGCTCCTTTCTTGAATGACCTCTCTGCTCTACATGGATTGCTCTACTTCCATGAGGATTAACTGATGCTTTCCCTGCCCCGCTGCCTCCACATCTTGGATTTTCCTGTGCACTGGTCGCTGCTTGAGCCCTTATCGGGAGGGCAGGAGCAGTCCCTTCGCTTTGTTTGTGTCCCTTGCTCCCCCCACCCTATGCACCTTCCTCCATCAAAGGAACCAGAGATAGGAGGCTACGGCTCTGCTTTTAAGTTGAATCTCTGCAGCTGAAATAAAATTGCATATATTTGCATAAGGAGCATCTCAATTAGCATATTTGTGGGTAAAGCTAAAAGGGCTGTTCATTTGGAAGTGAAAATGTGAACGAAACATGGAAATGACTTCCAGCCCCCTTTGCAAGCAGCTTAATTAAATATTTCCTTAGTGTGTGCACACGGATTTGGGAAGCTCTTACTGTATATGTAATGGTGTGTGAAACCCCAGGGCAGGCAGGGAGCGGTGGCCCTGTGAAGCCCGAGGTATGTGTTTGTACCCAGCACTGCCTGCACCCTGTGCTGCCTGTACGTTGCACTGCCTGCACCCTGTGCTGCCCGCTGCTGTGGCTCCTGCCACCCAGGGATCCCTCTCTCCAGGAAGATTTTCCTTCTGCCACCTGGCATGGTGATGCTGTGTTTTTCCCATTGTTTCCCGGGGGGTAGAGGCAGAGAAGGGAGTGTGTGATTTAGGAGCTGGAGCTGGGCAGGGCTGCCTGCCTCCTGCCAGAGCTGCATTGGGGGGAAGATCCTGCCTTTGTTTAAATAGAATTGCTTTGTGCTCGATCCTGTTCATGCTTCGATCAATGAGAGCAGGTACGAGTCTTTTAGGGAGAAAAACAGTACTGCTGCTTTTTTTTTCTTTTTTTTCTTTTTTTTCCTTTTTAAAGCCAAGTTGATTATTTTTCTTGCCTGCAAGCTTATACCTCAGCATCTTTCCCCTCTCCTTCTCAGGAGGGCAGCCCATAGGGACACCTGTCCAGCAGAGGCTCCGTGCTCTAACGTGGGACCTCGCCGCCGCCCTGGGACAGCGTGGTGGGGAGGGCTTGGTCCCTGCCTTCTGCTCAGGACCAGAGCCCTGAAAGCCGCCCTTTGACCCTGGGGGCTCCATGGGATCCCCCATGCTTGCAAACAGGGCTGCCCCGTGGTGCTGGGAGTGCGTGCTTTTGGCAGGGGTTAGCGAGTGGACCGGCTGTTAGGGTGCTGCTCGTACGAATGGTCGCACAAGGAGGGGACTCTGTAGGTCCCCTCCCGTGTGGGCGAGAGGCATCAGGTCCCTGGGACTGGTTTCTTCGGTAAGAGGGATGCGGAGCAGAGCACGGGGCTTCCTGGCATCCCCGGGTGCCTGCGTGCATCCCCGGGGAGAGGGGAGCACGCGCGATCCCACCGCACAAAGAGCCTGGAGAGGAGGCTGCGGAGAGATACGGAAACGTGGCGGGCTGGAGGGAGGTGGTGGAAGCGTGTACACACACACACATGCACGCGTGGCTGTGGAAGGCTGAGACAGGGGGACTGAGAGAGGGGGTCACACACAACCTATTGTGAGCGGCTGAAAGGCGCTACAGTCCCGAAATGTTAATCCGACCCAACCTTTCGCCAGTTATAATTTTCCTCTCAATGAGCGTGCATTAATCTGGCCCCTTCTCCCCTGTTCCCCTGCCATGCAGAGCCCTTGTTCCGCCACCTCTTGCTAAAATCGCCTTTCAGCGAACCCAAATAAAGCTCCCAAAGTCTGGAGCTCGGCCGCACCCTGGGAGCGGGGCAGACAGGGTCAGCTCCGAGCGGAGGAGGGAGCGTGGCTGGCCTGGCTGCGGCACCAACCCCCCGCTGCCCGAAGGGCCATTTCCCCTTGCCGTGCTATGGGCAAAACCCAGGTCCGGAGTGTGCAGGCATCTCTCGTCCCAGCCCTGCCCCGCGCCGGAGGGGTCGGAGGTACAGGATCCCCTATGGATGCTGTCCCATAAAGCATCCTGAGAAGCGTCCCGGCGGATCCTGCTGCACCGTTGCCCTAATGCTGCCCACTTTGCTCTCTCTGCAGCTGCCTCTCCTGCGTGAACGGTTCCTTCCCCTGCCACTGGTGTAAGTACCGGCACATCTGCACCCACAACGCCGCCGACTGCTCCTTCCTGGAGGGACGCGTCAAGCTCTCCGAGGTAAGGCGACGCGAACGAGCTCCCCTCTCCTGTCCTGACCCTGTGCCCTGTGGGGAAGGGTTTAGAAGAGGACAAACTGCTTTGGAAACCTTTCCCACCGCCTTGCTGAGGCTGCCTGGAAGCAGTGAGGCAGGAGTGGGAAGCGGTGCTGGGACCACATGCCTGTGGGGAAAGGCTGTGCCCGGCTGAGGAGTGCTGCTCGGGGAGTCAGGTGCAGCCAAGAGCACTTTAGGCTGAATGAAAGGAAAAACAAAGGCAGAGATGCCGAAGCGTTTTCCTTTGATGTTTTTGAAGGGAGCAAGCTTGAACTGTCACTGCAAAACAACTTGTTTTCAGAGAGGAGAAGGTTGCAATCCGTAAAACAAACCGTTTCGCTGCACCTCACGCCGCCTTTGTCTCAAATGCTTTGCTAAGGAATGTGTTCTTTTGTGGGAGTTCATCTTCCACAGCATCCGTGCCACCCACCAGGGAAACCTGTCACTGGCAGGGTGCTTGCAGGAGGTCCCCATGTCCTCAGCTTGTGGTGACATATCTGGCTGCTTGGGTTGAGTCTGGAGGTCCGGCCAGCAATTGCTGGCTCTGCAGTAAATGCTGATTCGGGTCCAGAAGAGAGAGTTTTGGGGAAGGAGAGTTTCTCCCCTGTCCTGGAAGGGGCCTCTGGTTGAGCTTACCTGGTTTTCCACTCTCCTGTGCAGGGGCCCAGCAGGAAGGTTCCTGCTGCTTGATGGTTGCTGCTGGGAGCAAAACCATGTGCTGTCCTCACAGGAACTGCTGAAATGGGTGTTGGCCTGGAGAAAGCGTTTGCCCCAATCATCTCAGATAAAGTTTAGTCTTTGAGCTCCAGCAGAGCTCTGGTCGCATAAGCCTCCTCGGCCAGGACTGCTCCCTTGGAGCAGAGGTGAAACAAAAAGGCTTGTCTCTGCTTCACAGACCATGTGTGAAGGCAAGCAGCCGAGATGTCCCTCAAGGTCTTTGCCATCCTGGTTGACACCGAGAGGAAGTCTGCCTCAGCATCTGCCTGCTCGGGAGGAGCAGTGAATCTTCATCCTCTGTAATTTGTGTCTTCTGAGGTCTGCCCTCATCCTCAGTGAGGACCTGTGGGCTCCCGGGTCTCCTTCCAGATCAGTGCTGTTGTATTCCCCATGTCCCCCTGCTTCCGTGCTGGGCTGGGAGCACACGTGGAGTTAGACGGCTCCCTCTGCAGCAAAGATGCCCTGAATTTTTTTGCCTACCTCTCTGCCTCTGTCATCACTCAAGGAGCTCAAGCGCTCCAGGAGAGGATGGGAGAGCTGGGCCATTACCCTACCATTGCCCAGCCACCAGCAGCACCATTGCTCTTGTGCCAGCGATAGGATCCATGGAGTAGCATCTTCCCAGGCACTGGGTCTGAGCCCCGTGTAGCTTCCCTGCTTCCTTGGGGTGAGTTGACCTTGGCTGGATGCCAGGTGCCCACTGAGCTGCTCTGTGGAGCTCAGGTGGGCCCCTGGCAGCCAGCCAAGGTTTCCCTGTAGAAAGCTGGAGCCTCTGGTCCTGCTGCCTCTCCCAGGGGAGCTGCTGTGTCTATGGGGAAACATTTGGGCTTTGCAGCCTGCAAAGAGAGGTGCTTGGGTCTCATACTTGGGTGCTCCCCGGTTCGAGGACTCCATGGACATGCGGAAGATGCTGGTGTCCCTGCACGGGGCTGTGCTGGGCTCTTGTCATGATCCTTACTCCAAGCGTGGAGCTGAATGAAGCCGTCCCTCAGCCAAGTGCATGAGGAGAACTGGAAAAGCCCAACCGTCGCTCCCACACGTGTGCAGACGGGGTTGGCGCTTGTCATTTCTGCGCGGCAACAGGCGAGCGCCGGCAACGAGACTCCGCTTGTCAAACAGCCCCTCCTGCCCCCCGCGCCCCCGGCGAGTGGGCGGCTGCCGGGGCTGTGCCCCAGCCCTGCCGCCAGCGCTCCGCGCCTCTCGGATGGTGCTTTTCACTGCCCCTTCCACCAGATAGCCAAACTCCAGCCTCTGGCAACGTCCCTCACCTCCCTGGAGGTATCATCCAAGTGCAAAGGGGTTGCACCATGCTTATGGGTGCCGGAGTGGTTGAGGGGCGAGAATGAGCTCAGCCTGGTGGCCTTACAAGAGGGAGGATTCGGTGATGGGAAAAGATGAGAGAAAGCTGTTTTCTCCCAGCTTGTGCCCTAAAGAAATCCAGCGAGGGATCGGCCTGTCCCAGGCATCCCAGAAACCTACTCTTGAGGTTGCACTTCCAGCCAGCCCTGGCATTGCTTCTGCAAATCCAGACCACTGGAGCATGGTGGCTCTCGTCTGCCCGTTCCCCTCGCCGAGGGCATGGGGAGGCTGCTGGGCTCTTCCTCCTTCCCTGCCAGGCGAACCCAAAAGCATCTGGTGGTGTCTCTGGGGCGCTTGCCGCTGTCCCACGGGCCAGCTGCTTGGGAACTCGTGTCACTCCCAGGCACAGGCAGGCTGTTCCCCCGTGGACCTTTTGGCCGCCCTGGGACCTGGAGCAGTGCCTTCCTTGAGGTTTGGAGCGTCTGGCTCAGCCTGTTTGCACATTGGTGTGACCTTAGCAGTTCCCGGCATGGGGATGGCGAGACACCCTCAGACCAGCTGCGGCTGTGGGCTGTGTCCAGGCTGGGATGAGACATCCCGTCTCCATCCCCAGCCGTCCCTGTCCCCAGCAGGATCGTGTGGTGGGTGGGAGGACTCTGGCACCGCTGGACAAGTTAATGGTAGACGTCCAGCCCTGTCCTCTCTGTGGGAGGACATCTAACTGGGAGGGTTATTTTAAGCAGGATTTGGCCTGTCTGCGTTGGTCAGAGTGTGGTGGGTGCTGGTCAGGAGAGGGAGGGAGGAGGGTTAACAGCAGCGCTTAACTCTATCTCTGCTGGTACCCCTCCCGGCACTCGCAGCACAGGCAGTGGCTTTCTTTTCTCTCCAGGGGTGGGAAAGGGGCTGTTCAGCCTGGAGAAGAGAAGACTCCGGAGTGATTTTTTAGCAGTCTTCCAACACCTGAAGGGGGCCTGCAGGAAAGCTGGAGAGAGACTTTTTACAAGGGTGTGTAGTGATAGGACAAGGGACAATGGCTTTAAACTGAAAGAGGGGAGATTTAGATTAGATGTAAGGAAGAAATTTTTTACTCTGAGGGTGGTGAGGAACTGGAACAGGTTGCCCAGAGATGTGGATGCCCCATCCCTGGCAGGGTTCAAGGCCAGGGCA